GAACATTCCAATTTCGCCGGTTGTGGTGAATAACGACACGTACATACAAGTGTTTGATGACAGTCACCCCAGCTACCGTCTTATACCAGCTGACAGGGAGCCGCGTACTTGGGGTCACATTAAGGCACCTTGCTACTACGTTGGAAACAACCAGGGTGGACCGTCTGGTTCCCACATCGCTCGGGAGTCGGTGATCGAAGGAAGGGTCTCTCAGTACGAGACACCTTCTCTGTTTTCACCGTCCTTCTTTTACGCCAGATTTGATGAATCATTGTGTGTCGCTGGTGCAGCTTGATTTTTAGCATTTTTGTGCACCAAACACTAATGTGACTTTCTTACGTTGTAATTTTAGTGTGGTTGTTATGTATGTAGTAGGAATTTTGTGTGTAACGCGCAAAAAGCATGCGCGCATTTTCCGCAGCCAGCCGGCTCAGACGGCCTGCTGAATGCGCGCAGCGCCGACTAACGTGCGATGACTTTCGCGTCCTGAGCTATATATAATAGGTTCCAGGCCAATAATAGCAATTAGCTAGCTCGCTCGCGCTGGCCAATTATGCATTACAGATTCATCCGGCTGGTCCACTAGTGACACACACACGCGCCGTGTAAGCTCCAGCAACGAAAATGCCCGCTTGAAGTCAAGTGTACACAGGGAAAATTGTTTTCACAACGCTAATTATTGGACTAATGCTGAGGATGCCTGTGGCCCGTTGCCCTGATACAAGATTAGCTGCACATCTGCTGGGGACAGAGCAGTTTGTTTTGTACATTACCTCTGAAGATTGATGGCTACTACATTTCCACCTCCAACAGCTGCTCTGCTGCCATGTCAACAGCTACATATTATTATTATTATCTTAACTAAAATCACTCTCTATGTCGCATCTAAGCAGCTCAGAAATTCCTAAACAGTGTAGCTACCAGGCCCACACATTCAGGTGGGTTGACTGTTCTACTAAAGAGCAAAAGAAGGGTGTATATGTGCAAATTCAATTAGTCGGATTCGATTAAGAACTGAAAGGCTAGGCTCAAAAGAATTTGGCAAGGAGATGCAGCCTTACATGGTTGACCATGTTATCCCCACCATACAGCAACATTTCAGAAATTCCTTTGTCTATTAGAGGGCAACTGCACCCACTGATAGCTAGCAGAGATAAGGATTGCTCCTGGCTATTGATCTTTTCCCACAAACATTTTACAACCAACTTTCCAAGTGGGTATAATTATGTACGAGCTTTGCAGTTTGGTGGTGGCTCCACACAAATTAAAGCTATAGCTACATTAAGACTTGCAGGCTACATAGTTGGGAGGCAAATGTTTTTCACACAACTTTAGAGGAAGAAGAGTGTCATTTTCCCTCACTCATCAATACTTGCAGTTAAAGGGACCACATTCGTGGTTTATTGCGGTATAGAAAGCCTATGACGATTGCTATGCTGGGAAAGTGTTCATCAAAGGACGCTTGAAGCATGTTGGTCACTCGTGGGCGTGGACCAACATTTTAGGCGCTATGCGTAGGCGAACGCAGGTTCGCGCCTATCAGCAACATGCCGGGCCTATAAAAGCAGTGATCGCTCCAGCAAACGTCGCTAGCTGTAGTCCCGGTAAAACTCGTGCAGAAAAAAATGGGTTTTCCGCAGCTCGCAGCTTTGTTAGTGTCATTGCTAGTTGCAGTTGACGCAAACGTTAGAACAATCGAACAACCGTTTGTTTCAGCAGGTAAAGCGCTGCAATACCTGAACAGTAAAATGGTATTGTAGCGTATCATTGAATACACTTTTTTTCGCAGAACCATCTACTCCCGGATCTATGGGAACAAAGTTCCTGGTAGGATTTATGCAAAATGTTCTCCCAAGAACTGCAGGGGACACTGTGCCTGATGCATACCTACTAGTGACGACCAATGAGACTGGAGTGGTGGAGTTTGATGTGACAACCATGTTTGGTGGGGTGCAAAGCTCTAGCACATATACAGTGGATTCAAGTGCACCAATACGAGTCAACTTTCCAGCTGATGATGTCTATGTGACAAATATTCAGGAGAGGGATAGAGCTATTTGGGTGCAAACTAGTAACAACAAGAAGATAGCCATCAAAGTTGTCAACGATGAAATCCGCTCTACTGACGGATTTGTTGCTCTCCCATGTGATGGAATGACAGCACCATCAGATTTTCGCACATATGAATATCTCGTTCTCTCCACTAATCAAGACACGACAACCACGCCAGGAAGCAGACCCAGATCTAGTCAGTTTCTTGTCATTACTTGTGATGATGACACGGAGGTTAAAGTAGCACCATCAACTGCAATCAGTGGAAGTGGTGTCTTTGAACACACTCGATTCGGTCCAGGACAATCAGAAGCATCATCAAACTGGCGAGTCAACAACAACAACGATATACCTGCAAAACAGACGCTCTTGATCTCAATCACAAATGAAGACCTGACTGGAACTTTGGTACAGGGAGACAAGCCATTGGTAGTAATATCTGGTCATCAGTGTGGACAAGTTACTGAGAGTGTTACAGCATGTGACCATATGGCAGCTCAGATACCTCCACAGACAACATGGGGCTACACGTTCCTGCTCAACCCTCTCAGTGGAAGGCGAAGTGGAGACTTGTATCGTTTTGCAACCCTCCAGGACAACACTAACGTTACCATCACATGTGTGGATGCTGGAAGCAGTACTTCAACAGTGGAGCATACAACAACTCTAAATTCTGCAGAGAATCCTAACTGGGGACAGTTTGAAACTCACTCAGAAGCTTGTGCCAACACGTATGTACCAAAATATTGCTGCTTGGAATCCTCCAATCCTGTCGTACTAGCTCAGTACAGCTATGGCTACACAAGGGATGCATCATGCAATGGAGGAGAATTTGGAGATCCATTCATGAGTGTCATTCCTCCAATAGTTCAGTATTTACGCCTTTACCATCTTGTTCCAGTCAACATTTCATCTGGACCCATTGCCAATCATTTCTTCAGTGTTTCTGTTCCAGTGAGATACTTTCAAACGGACAGAATTATGTTGGACGATGCCCCATTGGAGCTTGATGTTACTCTGTGGCAAGCCATCTACTGTAGCACTGGAGAGATATGTGGATATGGCATTACAAAGGACTTTGACAATCAGTACCATTCTCTCTTCCATGCTGATGCTAATGCAGCCATTTTTGTTCACACCTATGGCTTCAGCATTCAAATTCTATGCCATAGGGTGGAATGGAGCTCCACCACTTGCGGTGATAATTGTATAGCCATAAATTGGCGGCACTGCCTATTCATGATGTACGTCCTTGGCCGACGCAATTTATGAATTTATGCAAATTAGGTGACGCTAGGTGCTGCAATGTTTTCCTTCTGCTATATAGGTACAATTATATCCTGTGAGGTGTCGGCCACAGACATGGTGTTGTATCTCTGCAATCTAGGTTCTGTGTGGTGGATTGAGCGGAAGATCGGTCAACTGGTCACCGTACAGAATCTCTGACCTATCAGAACAGAGTCGGATTCGAAGTCAACACTGAAGATGGATCTGCTGGGGGTTAGTATAACGGCAACTATTCTTATAACTAGCTATATGGTGCTTTTGTATATCAGCTCCAGCCGACTACACACTACACTCAACATACCTGTGAACCGACCAAGCTTCTTCCCGGCACACTATCTGACTATAGAGGAGGGGCCAGACGGATTCAGTGATATCATTTGTACATCCAACTACAGCAGACAGTGATGATACAGAGCGTCAAGAGACCTTCTCTCCTCAAGGTCTCTCCAGCGTGTGAGGACGGCCATTGTCCTGACACACGATGTTCCCATTACCATTTGTGAGGTTAGGTGAGATAGTTCTTGTCTAGCAATCCAGTCATACAACACAACATATTTATCAGTATCTTTGTGGCAGTCAACACGATCTACTTTGCCCTGATTTGACTGATCCATGCAATGTATATGATGGTTGCTGGAACACACTCTGGTGATGCAGCTACTACACTGCACTGAGGCTATAGTTAGATGGCGAGCATCAACCAGAACAGTGTGTCCGGTGGTCATGGCGTAGGAGTAAGAGTAGTGATCCCCTGGTTGCATAGGTAAGTGAGTGCTATCTGTTCCGGTTCGCAAGTTATGGCAGCGACGACATTTGGCGAGCGCGAGCTGCTGGCCTGGCGTTCAATTTTTCGCGCGTATTTTCGCGCGTATTAAATGTGCAGTGCCGGTATAGTTGTTGGCCTGGGCCCCAGTGCCATATGGGATATGTTGACACAGTTGTGACGTTTGCCACAACTGTGCCCACGTGCTCATGCAGAGGGAAAGCCCAGGCCGTTTACATAGCGACTATCTACATAGCTGTCCCTTTCCCTGCAGCCATGCGCGAGTTTTGCTATTGTTGCCAAGAGGGAAACCCTGGCAGCTGAACTACTCTTAGATTACCTGTTTTTCTATTGTCCTTTTACTCTAGAGGCCCAATAATGAGGGACTCAGGTAGGCTTGGTAGTTTTCGCTCTTGCCACCCCATGGTTCCTATCCCTATGTAATAGGTGTAGGAAAGTCATTTCGCTGGAGGGGCCACCACCTGCTCACACAATAGTCAGTGAAGCTACCACATATTATGTGAAGAACCTACACCTTTTACAAAAAGTAGCACCGCCAATACAATTTCTCCCACGATTGGAACATATGACTCAGATGGTCAATGGTTTTTTTACTCTGCTTGAAATTTTTGTTTGACTTTTCTACCCTACAGCCCTGTGTGACTGACCTCAGTATCTGCCATGGTGTTGTATCACAGTCTGAATTCAGAGGGCGACACTCTCTAGACACTGCTACCTACTACACACCTGCATGGTGGATACGAGTTGGTTGGACCTCAAGCTCTGAACTGTCAGAGTGATGGAACCTGGGATGACATCTCCTCCAGGTTTTGGTAGACGTGAGTTTCAATTTTTCATCAGCCTTCAAGTACATCCGCTGTTTTCTCTCCATTCTAACAGCTCTGTGTCCTGATCTGAGTAATCCTGCCAATGGTGTTGTATCGCAGTCTGGAAATTCAGAGGGCGACACTGCTACCTACACCTGCAATAGTGGATACGAGTTGGTTGGACCTCAAGCTCTCAACTGCCAGAGTGATGGAACCTGGGATGACATTCCTCCAGTTTGTAGACGTGAGTTTAATTTTTTCATCAGCCTTCAAGTATATACATCCGCTGTTTTCTCTCTATTCTAACAGCTCTGTGTCCTGATCTGAGTAATCCTGCCAATGGTGTTGTATCGCAGTCTGGAATTCAGAGGGCGACACTGTCTACCTACACTGCAATGGTGGATACGAGTTGGTTGGACTCAAGCTCTGAACTGTCAGAGTGATGGAACCTGGGATGACATCCTCCAGTTTGTAGACGTGAGTTTCAATTTTTTCATCAGCCGTCAAGTATATACATCCGCTGTTTTCTCTCTATTCTAACAGCTCTGTGTCCTGATCTGAGTAATCCTGCCAATGGTGTTGTATCACAGTCTGGAAATTCAGAGGGCGACACTGCTACCTACACCTGCAATGGTGGATACGAGTTGGTTGGACCTCAAGCTCTGAACTGTCAGAGTGATGGAACCTGGGATGACAGTCCTCCAGTTTGTAGACGTGAGTTTCAATTTTTTCATCAGCCTTCAAGTACATCCGCTGTTTTCTCTCTATTCTAACAGCTCTGTGTCCTGACCTGGGTGATCCTGCCAATGGTGTTGTATTGCAGTCTGGAAATTCAGAGGGTGACACTGCTACCTACACCTGCAATGGTGGATACGAGTTGGTTGGACCTCAAGCTCTCAACTGTCAAAGTGATGGAACCTGGGATGACATTCCTCCAGTTTGTAGACGTGAGTTTCAATTTTTCATCAGCCTTCAAGTACATCCGCTGTTTTCTCTCCATTCTAACAGCTCTGTGTCCTGATCTGAGTGATCCTGACAATGGAACGGTGACACAGTTTGGAAACTCAGCAGGAGACAATGCTACTTATGTCTGTGATGAGGGATATGAACTAGTTGGAGCTCCAGTTCTGAACTGTCAGGACGATGGGACATGGGATAACTCCCCACCTACCTGCACACGTGAGTTCTAGGCATCTTCAAAGTAATCTTTATCAACACAATGTCTTCTCTCTATTCTAACTCTATTCTAACAGCGCTCTGTCCAGATCTTGCTAACCCTGCCAATGGTGTAGTTACATTGTCCGGAAACTCAGCAGGAGATACAGCCACGTACATGTGCAACATGCAGTTTGAATTGATTGGAGTCCCGGTTCTAAATTGTCAGGATGACGGGACATGGGATAACTCACCACCTGACTGTCAGAGTATTGAAGGTGAGGATCCTACTGGTAAGCAACACATGCACACTAATGTCGTAGTTGATGATGAAACAAGTAATACTAATATAACCATCGTTCATAACGACCGTGAGTTAATAAAAGTCTAGTAAACTTTCCACTTCTTCTTGCTTTCCATCTATGCCACAGGTGTTACTATCGGGTTTGTGAGTACCTTGTACAGCGTCAATGAGAATGACGAAATTGCCGTTCTTTCCATTGCTGTCCTATCTGGTCAGCTATCAGAGGAAGTTGTTGTACGATTGAGCACAGAAGATGACAGTGCCACAGGTATAGGTCTTACTGTAATATGACAGAGGCGCTAAAGGTGACACTAACCTTTCTCCGATACAGACCCGGAAGATTACATCTGTGTTAATATACGCTCACATTTGGTCCTGACTCAACAGAACAGCTTGTGATGATTTCAATAACCAATGATACTGTGTATGAGCAGCTAGTTGAAGAATTCATCTCCAACCTGGTGTTGGTGACTGACAATGCAAATGTTATAGTCAGACCAGCTAGAGCAACTGTAATGATTTTTGACGACGACAGTAAGTGTGGAAGCAAAGCATGGAGAGTGTTAATTTGTTTTTATCAATCTCCAGTACCAGCTCCAGTGTTTGAGATGACCATGTACACTGTACCAGAGGATGATCCAGGCAGTGTCCGACTGTGTGTTGACATTGGTGTGGAGATTACTGAACCAATCACCTACACCATCACTACTGCCCAGAAGAACCCTCCCCAGGCTGAAGGTAGAAATAAGGCTAGGTAAAGAGAGGCATTCTGTACTATTAATGTTGTCACAGATTCAGATTTCACTGGTGGAACTACAATCACAATAGCACCTCCTGGGACAGAGTCCTGTACTAACTTTTCAGACCTTGTTGTCAATGACAACATCGGACTGGAGGGAAATGAAGCATTCACCATCCTCATTGATGGGTCCATGGCTATGGTCACCATCACTGAAGATGATGGTGAGTTTCAGTCAGAATAATGGTGTCACATTTGCAAGCTTGTATTTGATCCAAACTGCAATGTCCACTCTTCAGATGTGTCCATTGGATTCAACCCAACAGCGTACATGGTTCTAGAAGGTGGTTCTGTAGACTTGATCATAGAGAGAATGGGAGATGCCGAAGATCCAGTTGTTGCTACTGTACTCACTAGAGATGGAAGTGCAACAGGCAAGTATTAAATCTTTGCTTGTACACTTTTACAACTTTTTTTGCAGCTGGAGAAGACTATGTCAGACTGGACGGTGTAGAAGTGACTTTTCTTCCTGGAGAGTTTACTCAGACAGTCACCCTGAATACAATGGCTGATCTGCCAGCTGAGGGAGATGAAGACTTAGTTGCAACTCTTTCTGCTGTTGATGCTAGAGTTGATGTCACTCAGCCTGAAGCAAGCGTCATCATCACAGAAGATGGTATGTAGATTCGAAGGTGGCTCATCGCTCTAGTGCGCCTCTCTCCCCAGTTGTCCCATCGATATCCTTCTCAACTGAGAATGTTGAGGTGGGAGAAGGAGATGGACCAGCTGTAGTATGTCTGGATCTCAGTGTCCCACTCTCTACTGATCTACAAGTGGTAGTCTCTGCATCCGCTGGAACAGGTACATTTTACTTCACATTCATGTCCATTTTCTCCCAGTGTGATAACCCTATTGTTTCCAATACAGCTGACAGTGGGAGTGACTTCTCAGCAGGCACACAAACAGCGTCATTCGCTGCTGGATCTACAAGAGCCTGTGTTAATTTCGTGATAATTGACGACGATCTTGCTCTGGAAGGGAACGAGACTTTCACAGCCACATTTGAAACACCAGGCGGTTTCGCATCTGTGGATCCATCAACAGCTACTGTCACTATTGTAGATAATGATGGTACGTCGTATCGACGACAAAGCATTGCTTTTTGTAAGTATGCTCTCTACCACTGCAGTGTTCACGATCGAGTTCACAGAGGACGACTACAGTTATGTAGAGGGAGATCCCAATGCTCGTGTGTGTCTGGAAGGTATTGGACAGATAGTTCAGCCAGCCACTGCCACCGTATCATCTCTCGCCCAAGGAACAGCAACAGGTTATAGCTACAGTGCCTGAGAGAAAGTATGGCCACTGCTATAAGTTGTTAATTTTACAGTTGGGGAAGACTATGTGGCCCTGAATTCTGACCAAGTTGAATTCACCCCCAACGGAGAAAGTACTGTTTGCATATCAGTCAGTGTAACAGATGACCCTTTTCTTGAGGAGGTGGAGTCATTTCCACTTACAATTGACTCTGTTTCGCCAACTCCTGGAGTTGTGACAGGATCACAAAGCTCCACAACTTTCTTCATAAGAGATAATGATGGTAAATTCACATTTACCAACTCAGAGTTACAATAATTATGGAGATGATTGTGTTTTTTAGCCGTGTCTGTGGGATTCAATCCGACCGAGTACATGGTAGTGGAAGGTGGGTCCGTACAGTTGACAATAGAGAGAATTGGAGATGCCCAGGAACCAGTTGCTGTACTGGTAACTACCACTGATGGAACTGCAACAGGTATAATCATAATATGTGAACAGAACTAGACAATATGTCGCATTGCCCCACCATGCCGTGCCATGTTGCCATGAATCCTTTGCGGCACAACGCAACGCGACACTGTGGAACAGGGCAATGCGACATATTGTGAACCCTGTCTCACACTCCAAGTACCTCATGTCATATTATCATCTTCCAATAGCTGGTGAAGGTGATTATACACCCTTGATGCAAGTGCAAGTGACGTTCAATCAAGGAGAGTCTACCAAGACAGTCACCCTCATTACACTGGATGATGTACCAGCCGAGGGTCCCGAGTACTTGGAGGCTACACTCGATGTTGTTGACCCAAGAGTGACAGTCTCTACAGCCAATGCTACAGTTGTTATCACAGATGACGGTGAGTAGCTAGCTATACTAGAACGCAAACCATTTCTGGCGAGCAAAAAGAAACGTGATTTAAAATTATCTCTCTCACTTATAACTCTGTGTGTGTGCAGTTGTTCCGACAATATCGTTCTCAACAAGCAATTACGTTGTGGGAGAAGGAGACGGAACAGTCGAAGTGTGTCTTCAACTGAACGTGCCTCTGGTAGCAGACATTGACTTCACAGTGACTGCTGCGTCTGGAACAGGTAACACTTCATATTCTCTGCACACTTTGTTGAATATGGAAACTTTTAGCCACTGCTGATGAGGACTTTGTGGATGAGGAGCAAAGAGCCGTTTTCCCCATTGGAGAGACCAGGGCTTGCATTGATTTCAAAATTACTGATGACCGTCTTCAAGAAAATGATGAAATTTTCACTGTCGCGTTTTCTTCACGACCTGGAATAACGACTGGAGATCCTGCCACTGCAACTGTCACCATCATTGACAATGATGGTAGCTAAACTACTCCATTTCATTATGGTTAAACCGTCCTTCTTTTTCTATAGATCCAGAGCCAGAGTTTGATCAGACAATGTACACTGTACCTGAGAACAATCGTACACTTCCTCTGTGTATAGATATTGGTGTGCTAGTGTCTGAAGCTATGGAGTTTACCATCACTGCCAGTAATAAGAATCCTCCTGAAGCTCAGGGTCAGTCCATTAGAGTAATATAGAACTCAACTGCAAATGACCTCTTTCCTTGTACAGAGGCTGATTTTAATCCTAGCACTACTATTACTGTACCTGCTGGTGGTTCAATGGCCTGTATTGACTTCACTGGCCTTGTTGTGGATGATAACATTGCTCTTGAGGGAGATCAGAGCTTTACCATAAGTGTTGGGGGCTCTACATCAATGGTTGTCATTGTTGATGATGACAGTGAGTTCTCAGTTAGTCATTATTTCGCATTTCGTTGATTTGTTCTCCGTCTACAGTTCCACTGATTGAATCTGGTGATGTTATTATCAACGAAGATGGAGGCATAGCTGTTGTGAATGTGCGTCTATTGAACGAGATTGAAAACAACTTTACGTTGGACTACAGCACAGGAGAAGTACCAGATGGTGCTAACGGTACATTGATACAAATAGTAATTGAACCAAATTGGTAGACATTGTGTACTACAGAGGGTGAGGATTTTGGACGAAGAGGAGGCAGAGTTGTCTTCACTCCGAGAGGAGTGAAACAGCGATCAATAGAGATCCCAATCACTGACGATCAACAGACTGAGACAGATGAACCACTGTTTGTCACCTTCTCGTCCGAGGACATACCAGCAGACAGACAGGACATGATTCCGAGTCCCATGGTTATCATCATTGACAACGACATTAGTGAGTTATAATGTGCTGGCCGGGATAAGAGGCGATGATAATTTGCAACTTTTCTATATAGCTGTTGGATTTGATCCGAGTGAATATTCAGTAGCCGAGAGACCAGGTGGTTTTGTGACATTGACAGTCACCCGAAGTGGAAACATCGACCTAACAGCTAATGTGACACTACTAACGTTGCAGGGGAGTGCAGATGGTAGGCCAACACACAAAGTTAAACTCTGTCAATAAAATATGCATTCCCCCTTCACATAGATATGGACTTCACAATAGTGTCAACAACAGTGGAATTTGGACCTGGAGAAGACAGTGTGCCAGTGAATATTTCTATAACTGATGATGCCGTCCCAGAAGGGGTTGAAGTGTTCACTGCCACACTGATGTCGAATGCCCCAAATGTTGTTGTCAGTGGTAGCGAAGCCACCATCACCATTTTGGAGAATGATCAACGTAAGCTAATAATAAATCTGCAAGCCTCAGTCAACTGCACCTTTGCATTGCATGTGGTGTTCTTAAACTAAATTGAGTAGGTTTCTTGTGTATTCTACTAGTACTCCATGCAGTCTCTGTATATATGCCTTTGTTTATGCTCTGACCTCCAGCCGTGATAGGTACAATTGTCAACGATACAATCATTGGGGATCCCCTCTTTACCGTGACTCTACCAAACGAGGACGAATTCATGTGCTACGAGGTCCACGGCTACTCTGGGAAATACTTCAACCTCGTCTCAGACAGTTGTACATCGGTCAATGCCCTCTTCTCCCAGTTACCAGATAACGATAGGATCAACCTAATGAGTGATATTGGGATCTACACAAGGGATGACGACGGACAGTGTATTCAGATCCAAATAAGTGTCACCGGCTGCTCAGGCTCTGTGGATGGTCAGGCTCTAACTTCTAGCTACCAGGTGGCCGGGGTGAACGTTCGCTCTTACCCCAACCGCTGGCGGGTGTCTGCACCAAACTGTGGTTCCACGCAACTCGTGATGTGGATCTTCTGCAAGAGTGAACCGGACATGTTGCGATTCCACATCGCAAGAGGCAACAACCTTGACCCCACCTCCCACGGGCTCCTCGGTATGTAGGTTTTGACCACTGTTAAACAAAAGCTAACTGTGTCTGTGATTTCTTTCATACAGCTCAATTCTGGAACATTCCGATCAATATCACGACGAGGAACGGTGAACCGTATGTGCAAGTGTTTGATCCAACGCATGAGAACTACCGTCTCATCCCGGCGTTTCCCGCACCTCGAACCTGGGACCACACCCCCGCTCCCTGCTACTACGTAGGAAACGCACAGGGTGGACCGTCAAGATCCCATGATCCACGGGAATCGGTGATCGAGGGAAAAGTTGATGACTATGAGACGTCTTCTCTGTTTTCACCAATTTTCCTCTACGCCCAGTTTGATGAGTCAGTGTGTTCTACTGCAGCTTGACATTTTTAGTAGATTGTTAGAGAAACAAAACACAATTTTTGTTGGTTCTTGAACAAAATTATGTGCGGTAGCTGATTGTTGTAAATTTTTCACTTGCGAGGTTGATTGATTTTTGTAAACGAAAATGCGCCCGTGCGCGATCAAAGTATATTTTGCCCGTTAGGGATATACAAGAATAGATAAACATGCAGATAGGCACAGTGACAGATACACTAGGGGACAGTTGTAAGGGAAGAGGCATAGAGGCATTTCAGTTCTGATCCCACAGAAAACAAAGATGGTCATCACCGTTTATAAGAAAGGAAAGAAGGTCAAAGTATGTTTGGGGGACAGATGTGCTGCTGAGATGTGGTGTGCAAAAACAGAGTCTCTCGATAGCTTCTCATCACAGTGTGTTTCCCTGAATTGGTTTTTCCAGGACTTTTATAAAGACTGAGAGCACATTCGAACCTTGAATACCCCTGTCGTGTGCCATGTTGCTAGATCACAGGGCAATGTTGCCCCTGAATAACTAGTGGGTGCCAGTACGGTTGTTGAGGATTTGTCGTAACTTGTAATGGAACTTGCAGAGTTGCTGTGGCTTGGCATTGTTGGCGAAACAGGGGACGTAGAACCACGCCCACCTATGATAGACATTAGGGCTGCATCTACTGTGTATATACACGTGTCGAGGATTGTCAGACATGTCGACAGCAGGATTAGATGGAGTGACACAATGAGCTGAGTCAATGTGTCTTGACATTGACATCGGCACAAAAGGTGATGTAGAAGCAACCATACCCAGTGTTTGTAGGCGTAATCCACACGCGCATGCGCAGTTGGCGCCGCATAGGCGGTCTGCTTCCCTGTACGGGCGTCCGTATGGCACGCCAAACGTAACAAAATCGGGTATCTCCATACGTCCGCTTTACGCGACACTTCCAAATGTAGGGATGGCCCCATCAAAGCGGCATCATGCAAGAACAGGAGTGAGCCTACCTACGCAGTACACTATAACTCGCTCCCGTGTTTTTTGTCAGGCTATGGGCCATAAATATTTCCTCTGGCAACCGGCTGAATTCTAAATTACTGGTGTTGGCGCGAGCACTAGCGAGGTCATACAACGCTAATGCAACTTGATCTTCTTGAACATAACATGCGGTCTGCCTCTCCCTGGTGTCTCAGACGACGTCCTAGCAACAACTGCATTACGCCTGGACGTCTTCCAAATGTAGGGATGGTTGGGCCGCAGCATGCATTGCTCAATCATACAGTGTTGCCTACGCGGATCCTCTATACACGTATATAGCAACCATCATGGGAACGGTATTTGTGATCCTGGGACGCGGGGTATAAATGGGATCGCGTGCGCGCAAGTTGCATGCAGAGCGCGGGGAGTGCGAGCGGCAATCTGCAGTTTATTTCTCCCAAGATGAAATCCCTGCAACTTCTGCTCGCATTAGTGTTCTTTTTCGCAGTTGAGGCACGTCTTCTACCTATTGAGCAACAATTCCGAGAGTCTGGTAAGTCATCAGGCACAAACGGACCACCAATAATGCAATATGTTCAACCTTAAACTGCGAGGCAGACTATGATGTTGCCAACGTTGATATTGCATAGTTTCGCTCGAAAGTGGTCTTCAATCCTGTGTGATATGGCTTACTTGCTTCTTCACACAGATCCAAACAATCCAGGCTCAAGTGGAACAAAATTTCTGGTGGGATTTATGCAAAATGTTCTCCCAAGAACTGCAGGGAACACCGTGCCTGACGCATACCTACTAGTGACGACCAGTGAGACTGGAGTGGTGGAGTTTGATGTGACAACCATGTTTGGTGGGTGTGCAAAGCTCCAGCACATATACAGTGGATTCAAGTGCACCAACACGAGTCAACTTTCGAGCTGATGATGTCTATGTGACAAGTATTCAGTCGAGGGATAAAGCTATTTGGGTGCAAACTAGTAACAACAAGAAGATAGCCATCAAAGTTGTCAACGATGAAATCCGCTCTACTGACGGATTTGTTGCTCTCCCATGTGATGGAATGACAGCACCATCAGATTTTCGCACATATGAATATCTCGTTCTCTCCACTAATCAAGACACGACAGACAGTCAGGAAGTAGACCCAGATCTAGTCAGTTTCTTGTCATTACTTGTGATGATGACACGGAGGTTAAAGTAGCACCATCAACTGCAATCAGTGGAAGTGGTGTCTTTGAACACACTCGATTCGGTCCAGGAGAATCACAAGCATCATCAAACTGGCGAGTCAACAACAACAACGATATACCTGCAAAACAGACGCTCTTGATCTCAATCACAAATGAAGACCTGACTGGAACTTTGGTACAGGGAGACAAGCCATTGGTAGTAATATCTGGTCATCAGTGTGGACAAGTTACTGAGAGAGTGACCGCATGTGACCATATGGCAGCTCAGATACCTCCACACACAACATGGGGCTACACGTTCCTGCTCAACCCTCTCAGTGGAAGACGAAGTGGAGACTTGTATCGTTTTGCAACCCTCCAGGACAACACTGACATTACCATCACATGTGTGGATGCTGGAAACAGTACTTCAACAGTAGAGCATACAACAACTCTAAATTCTGCAGAGAATCCTAACTGGGGACAGTTTGAAACTCACTCAGAAGCTTGTGCCCTCCCGTATGCCCCAAAATATTGCTGCCTGCAATCTTCTAATCCAGTTGTAGTAGCTCAGTACAGCTATGGCTACACAAGGGATGCAACATGCAATGGAGGAGAGTTTGGAGATCCATTCATGAGTGTCATCCCTCCAATAGTTCAGTATTTACGCCTTTACCATCTTGTTCCAGTCAACATTTCATCTGGAACTATTGCCAATCATTTCTTCAGTGTCTCTGTTCCAGTCAGATATTTCCAACCTGGCAGTATCATGTTGGACGATGCCCCATTGGAGCTTGATGCTACTCTGTGGCAAGCCATCTACTGTAGCACTGGAGAGATATGTGGATATGGCATTACAAAGGACTTTGACAATGAGTACCATTCACTCTTCCATTCTGATGCCAATGCGGCCATTTTTGTTCACACCTATGGCTTCAGCATTCAAAATTCCTACGCCATAGCTGGTGGAATGGAGCTCCAACCAATTTCTGGTGAGAATTTTTATAGCCATAAATTTGGCGGCACTGCATTATTCATGATGTACCTGCCTTGGCCACCCAAAATTTATAAATTTATGCAAAATTAGGTGACGCTAGGCTGAAATGTTTTCCTTTGCTATAGGTACAATTATATCCTGTGAGGTGCCTGACGACTGTGTGGTGGAAGGAAGATCGGTCACTGTGACCTGTACCAGATCTATTGACCTATCAGAACAGAGCAGGATTCGAGTCAACACTGAAGATGGATCTGCTGGGGGTTAGTATAATGGTAACTATTCTTATAACTAGCTATATTATTGTTGCTTTGCATATCAGCTCCCGACTACACTACACTCAACATACCTGAGAACCGACCAAGCTTCTTTCCCGGCAATGTTCTGAACTACAGAGGAGGGACCAGACGTGATTCAGCGATATCATTTGACATCCAAACTACAGCAGACAGTGATGATACAGAGCCTCCAGAGACATTCTTCCTCAATGTCTCTCCTGTGAGGACGGCCATTGTCCTGACACCACGAGTTCCCATTACCATTTGTGGAGGTAGCCATGTAGTCTGCAACACGAGTTTGCTGTTCAGCACATCATTTTTGCAGCTGGTTGTGACCCTCTGGAGGACCCTGAAAATGGTGAGGTGACAGTCACCGGACTTGGTCCAGGAGATGTGGCACGCTATGAATGCAATCCTGGCTATGAGCTAGTTGGAGTGACGGAGCGGACCTGTAATGGTGCAACGTGGAATGATGAACCACCAATTTGCAGAGGTCTAATAATATACATGGAAACTGTTAAAGTAATCAGATTATCATCTTATCCTTGGATATAGCTCTCTGCCCTGAGCTGCCTGACCCTGCCAATGGTATGGTGACACTCACTGGGACATCAGTAGCAGACACAGCTACCTATACTTGCAATGCTGGATTTCAGCTGGCTGGGAGCACCAGTTCTAACGTGTCAGGGTGGTGGCACATGGGACAATCCTCTTCCTAGGTGCCAGAGCCTTGCTGGTATGAAACTCTATTTGTTAACACTTGTTGAGTTAAACACTGTGTGCATGGAACATCAATTTGCACTCATCGATTCATGTATCACCAACACATTGTTCAATCCTTATACACGGACTTGAAATCCTTTCTCCTAGTGTTTGTATCGTTTGATCCAACATCCTACACTGTGACTGAGGGAGAGGATGGAGCTGCTGAATTGATACTAGTCAGAAGTGGAGATCTCAGTAGAGCCACTGTTGTCACTGTCACCACCGCTGATGGTTCAGCAATTGGTATGTTGTATAATATAGTGTAAGCCTGGATTATTCAGTTTTTTGACTTTCTCTTCCTCCAGCTGGTTCCGACTACACTGCCACTACAATGACAGTAACATTTGAAGCTGGAGAGACTGTGGCTAGAGTCAGTGTCCAAATCACTAATGATAATATGGTGGAGAATGTTGAAGAATTTACCGCAACCTTGTCTAGCTCAGAATCAAATGTTATGATAATTGAAGACAGAGCAACTGTCACAGTACTGGACAACGATGGTTAGTTTTTTTCGACATGGAAGTTATGCCTTATAATTATTTATTTATTTTTTAGTACTTGTGTCATTTGATCCAACATCCTACACTGTGACTGAGGGAGAGGATGGAGCTGTTGAATTGATACTAGTCAGAAGTGGAGATCTCAGTAGAGCCACTGTTGTCACTGTCACCACCGCTGATGGTTCAGCAATTGGTATATTGTATATAGTGTAAGCCAGGATTATTCACTTTTGACTTTCTCTTCCTCCAGCTGGTTCCGACTACACTGCCACTACAAGGACAGTAACATTTCAAACTGGAGAGACTGGGGCTAGAGTCAGTGTCCAAATCACTAATGACAACATGGTGGAGAATGTTGAAGAATTTACCGCAACCCTGTCTAGCTCAGAATCAAATGTTATGATTGGTCAAGACAGAGCAACTGTCACAGTACTGGACAACGATGGTTAGTTTTTTTATATACTGACATGGAAGTTATGCCTTATTGAAATCTTTTCAGCACTTGTGTCATTTGAGCCAACCTCCTACACTGTGACTGAAGGAGAGGATGCCACTGCTGTAGTGAGACTGGTCAGAAGTGGAGATCTCAGTAGAGCCACCATAGTCACTGTTACACCAACACCAGGATCAGCTGAAGGTATGCACTTATGTTGCACAAGGTTGTACTTATTCTCATCTCTTTCGTATAGCTACTCTGGATTTCACAGCTACATCTATCGATGTGACATTCATACCTGGTCAAACAACAGCCACGGTTGAGGTCCCTATCACAGATGACTCTGTATCAGAAGGCACTGAGATGTTCTCTGCAGTACTATCCACAACTAACCCAAATGTGATGTTAGGAGAAGATACTGCCAGTGTCACCATCCTGGATGATGACAGTAAAGGATTGAAAACTTCAAAAGTTTAATATGATCTCTTTCAATAGGTCCAGAGCCAGAGTTTGATCAGACAATGTACACTGTTCCTGAGAACAATCGTACAGTTCCTCTGTGTATAGATATTGGTGTGGAGCTCCCAGGACCAATGGAGTTTACCATCACTTCCAAGAGCAAAGACCCTCCTGGTGCTCAAGGTTAGTAGTCCACTGGTAGAATGTCTTAACCTGATCTGAGTGCTCTATTTCCTTGGTACAGAGGCTGATTTCTTTCCCAGTACAACTATCACTGTGACTCCTCCCAGTTCTGTGGCCTGTATTGATTTCACTAATCTTGTTGTGGATGACAGCATTGCTCTTGAGGGAGATCAGAGCTTCAACATATGTGTGGGCAGCTCCACAGCAATGGTGGTCATCATTGATGATGATAGTGAGTTCTCAGTTAATCATTATTTCTCATTTGGTTGATTTGTTCTCCATCTACAGTTCCACTGATTGAATCTGGTGATGTTACTATCAACGAAGATGGAGGCATAGCTGTTGTGAATGTGCGTCTATTGAACGAGATTGAAAACGACTTTGTGTTGGACTACAGCACAGGAGAAGTACCAGATGGTGCTGATGGTAGGTATACCCACATACAAACTGCCCTGTCATTCACCACACGCTTCAACAGAGGACGCTGACTTTGGCGGAAAAAGTGGCACCATTACGTTTGTTCCAGGAGAAGACATACATCAGAGTATCACAATCTCAATCAACGACGATAAAGACGTGGAGTCTAACGAGCCTCTTGTCATAGGGTTTTCCTCTTCAGAAATACCGCCCGAAATGCAGAATTTTCCAACCCCCAGCATCACCATCATAGACAACGACATATGTGAGTCGAACCCTAAATCTGCACCGTATAATTGCCTGCATAATCTGTGCAGTTGTTGGTTTTGAGCCAACCTCGTATACTGTCAGAGAGGGAGTTGACATGTTTGCCAAATTGACAATAATCAGAAGTGGAAATATCGACCTCCCAGCCAACGTCACATTAACAACAGTACCAGGATCCGCTGGAGGTAGTACCTAATGTGCACATAATACGATGATGTATTTTGAAAATCCAATGCAGAGGATGACTATAACACAACTACTCAGAATGTGTTTTTCGAACCTGGAGAGACCAGTGTTACAGTCGACGTTCCCATACAAGACGATGCCATTCTGGAGGACACTGAGTCGTTCTCTGCCACTCTCATGTCTCAACTGCCAAATGTATTGGTGTTTGAAAACGCCAGCAATGCCGACATTGCTATCCTTGACAACGATCGTAAGGGGGGCCACCCAATTATCGGGCCAAGTGAACATTTTCTCCTCTCCATAGGTGTTACTATTGGCTTTGTGGAGACATTATACAGTGTTGATGAGAACGACGGATCGATTGTGGTTACTGTAGCAGTATTGTCTGGAGAGCTGTCGGAGGATGTAGTCGTGGGCTTCAACACACAAGATGATACAGCTACAGGTTTACTCACATTCAGAATTTTGTGTCGTTTTATGCATACTCCCTTTCCAGCCACTGATGATTATGAAACCATTTCCTCTCTACTAACGTTCGGACCTGGAGTCACGACCAGGGCAGTGTCCATTCCAATAACCAACGACAATGTACATGAGCCTGACCCTGAGCGGTTCCTTGCTAGCCTGGGACTACTGACTACCGGTGTGGAAATCACCATCGCTCCAGATCAGGCAACTGTCGTCATAAATGACGATGATGGTAAACTCCCCATATATACCTAAAACAGAGATATAACTATGTCTCTGTTATTATACAGTTCCAACCCCAAGATTTGATCAGTCAGTGTACACTGTACCAGAGGATGATCCAGGCAGTGTCCCACTGTGTGTCGACATTGGTGTGGAGATTACTGAATCAATCACCTACACCATCACTACTGCCCAGAAGAACCCTTCCCAGGCTGAAGGTAGAAATAAACCGCTATCAATAGATCTTCTTTACAAATGTTGTCACAGATTCAGATTTCACTGGTGGAACTACAATCACAATAGCACCGCCTGGGACAGAGTCCTGTATTGACTTTACAGATCTTGTTGTCAATGACAACATCGGACTGGAGGGAAATGAAGCATTCACCATCCTCATTGATGGGTCCATGGCTATGGTCACCATCACTGAAGATGATGGTGAGTTTCAGTCAGAAAATGGTGTCACATTTGCAAGCTGTATTTGATCCCAACTGCAATGTCCACTCTTCAGATGTGTCCATTGGATTCAACCCAACAGCGTACATGGTTCTAGAAGGTGGTTCTGTAGACTTGATCATAGAGAGAATGGGAGATGCTGAAGTTCCAGTTGTTGCTACTGTACTCACTAGAGATGGAATGCAACAGGCAAGTATTAAATCTTTGCTTGTACACTTTTACAACTTTTTTGCAGCTGGAGAAGATTATGTCAGACTGGATGGTGTAGAAGTGACTTTTCTTCCTGGAGAGTTTATTCAGAGAATCACCCTGAATACACTGGCTGATCTGCCAGCTGAGGGAGATGAAGACTTAGTTGCAACTCTTTCTGCTGTTGATGCTAGAGTTGATGTCACTCAGCCTGAAGCAAGCGTCATCATCACAGAAGATGGTATGTAGATTCGAAGGTGGCTCATCGCTCTAGTGCGCCTCTCTCCCCAGTTGTCCCATCGATATCCTTCTCAACTGAGAATGTTGAGGTGGGAGAAGGAGATGGACCAGCTGTAGTATGTCTGGATCTCAGTGTCCCACTCTCTACTGATCTACAAGTGGTAGTCTCTGCATCCGCTGGAACAGGTACATTTCACTTCACATTCATGTCCATTTTCTCCCAGTGTGATAACCCTATTGTTTCCAATACAGCTGACAGTGGGAGTGACTTCTTAGCAGGCACACAAACAGCGTCATTCACTGCTGGATCTACAAGAGCCTGTGTTAATTTCGTGATAATTGACGACGATCTTGCTCTGGAAGGGAACGAGACTTTCACAGCCACATTTGAAACACCAGACAGTTTCGCATCTGTGGATCCATCAACAGCTACTGTCACTATTGTAGATAACGATGGTACGTCGTATTGCCGATAAAGCATTGCTTTTTGTACATATGCTCTCTACCACTGCAGTGTTCACGGTCCAGTTCACAGAGGATGACTACAGTTATGTAGAGGGAGATCCCAATGCTCGTGTGTGTCTGGAAGGTATTGGACAGATAGCTCAGCCAGCCACTGCCACTGTCTCATCTCTCGCCCAAGGAACAGCAACAGGTCATAGCTACTACAGTGCCTGAGAGAAAGTATGGCAACTTTGAAGTTTCCCCTGTACAGCTGGTGAAGACTATGGACCTGTTTTTTCGGAGACTGTAGTATTTTCTCCCAGTGGAAGTCAAACTGTGTGTCTACCAGTGGAGCTGGGTGATGATGACATTGTTGAAGGGGACGAGAACTTTCCGCTCGTTATCGAATCCGTTTCACCCTCACCTGGAGTTGTTACTGGGCCTCGAGACAGCACTGACGTCATCATTCAAGACGACGACAGTATGTTTCTTAGTACAGAAAGCGAGAATTGTCATCTATGTGTAGCTTCAACACTCGGCTCCATTTCACTACAAAATGTGTCCCAAAACTTTTTCATATTAAGAGATAACCACACTCTTTGCCATAATATGTGCTGTATAAATTTGGGTTTAGTGGGATGTCATAACTTTTCCGGCACTTTTAAAAGTTACGAAAAGGTTTTGGAGGCTATTGTTTGGATAATGGGTCACAAGGTGTGCAGAAACCATTGGAGGTGGCAGTAGGTTGTTTGGTGCTGGCAACATTAGTAGAGTAATCAACACTGTATTTGCTATAGAAGGATGAGTACCAACTTCACATTCTAAATTGGGTAACTACACTTCCTACAGCTGTTACGCCCACCCTTACTCCCTGCACATACAGCGGCAGTGATTGGGTTTGAGGAAACGCTCTACACTGTCGGTGAGGACCAGAGGGTGGTGGTACTGAGAGTCAGAGTCCTGTCTGGGACTTTATCAAGTCCTGTTGAAGTCCGTGTGTCTACTGATGATGGGACTGCCAGAGGTACAGTAGAAACATCTGAATAAGGGGCATCGCTCTCCATACTAATAATACCGCCAAATAGTGGTGTCCCCAAAGATATCCCATATTCAGAGGTTTCACTGTATACGTGAACAATCACATAGTATAGTATGTACATACCATTATTGAGTACACATGTGTAGGGCCGGCCCAGTGGGAGGTATGTGTACACACCAGTACATGTAGGACAACCCCTTTACTGAAGCATTTTGTATTGCGTTGCTTTTAATCCGCTAGCTAGCTTCAGCCCCCAGCAACACACAAAATTACAAATTCTGTTCAACTACACTACATACATACACATGGTATTTTCACACGGTACACACACACACACACATTGACCTTGTGAACCCTATATTATACGATAGTGTTGCCCCCCCCACAAAATACAGTAGTAGCTATGTATAGTTATACATCCCTGTAAACTGCACTTACCCTTTTATATAGCTCCAGGGGACTACTCAACTGTCATTGACCTCCTTACCTTCACTCCTACTAACACTGCGGCTGAGATAGTTGTTCCCATAACTGATGACGGCATCTTTGAGCCCTCGCCTGAGGACTTTGCCGCACTGCTGGCATTAGTCACAACAGATGCTAATGTAGTCGTGGAGCCCTCTCTAGCAACCATTCGCATTACCGATGATGACTGTAAGCATTGCTATTCACACAATAATGTGTCGCTCACATAGTTGTCTGTTTTTCTGGCTTCGTTGCGATCACTCTTACAGTACCAGCTCCAGCGTTTGAGATGACCATGTACACTGTACCAGAGGATGATCCAGGCAGTGTCCCACTGTGTGTTGACATTGGTGTGGAGATTACTGAATCAATCACCTACACCATCACTACTGCCCAGAAGAACCCTTCCCAGGCTGAAGGTAAGGCCAAAAACCGTAACTAAACTGCATCTCACACTCTGTTGCAATAAAGATTCAGACTTTGGCACATCGGCGCAAGTGACAGTGGACCCTCCTGGTCCATCAGCCTGCATCGACTTCACTGATCTGGTGCTGGATGACAACGTTGCTCTTGAAGGAGACGAGGCCTTCACTATCCTTGTTGGAGACTCGATGGCCATGGTCACTATCATTGATGACGATGGTTGGTAGCTATACACAACTATTTGTAGTAAATACCTGAACCACTACTGTGTGCAGTGCCCATCATAACGTCGGGCGACAAAACAGTTAGAGAGAGTGTGGGAACGACAGACGTTTGTGTGTCTCTCTTGAATCCAATTGAAATGGTATTCGACATCTCCTATGCCACCGCTGATGGATCCGCTCAAGGTTAAAATCACTATTCGCATACTTTTTATATACACCAGACATGTTGGTGATAATTTTTAAAACATCCCCCCATTCACCATTAAAACAAATTGTAAAACTGCGTACCTTCAAAAAAAGTGGGGAACAGTTTCCTGGCAACATTGTACACTGATCAAAATTGCCCTCTGTAAGTGAAACACTTCGAGCCTGCACATGGGAAATTTTCCTGCAAGATGGTATTTGAGTAACCGTGTACTCCACAGTTCCAAGTGATTACACTGCCGCAAGTGGGACACTGTCATTGTCCCCAAGTTCCGATGGAACAGAGTGTGCCGAGATCACCATCACGGATGATGATGAACTTGAGCCAAGAGAAAGTTTCAGCATATTATTCACTCCCAATGTACCTGGAAGCCAGCCTTCAACCTCCACTGTCAACATTGAAGACGATGATCAAATAGGTAGGTCAGTGTGTGCACATAACTCTACATATTATAAAATCCATTCCTTTCCTCTATATTGAAGGCACCGTTGTGAATGATACAATTATTGGGGACCCTCTCTTTACCGTGACTCTACCAGAAGCCGATGCGTTCATGTGCTACGAGGTCCACGGAGAAGCCGGGAAGTACTTCAACCTCATATCAGACACTTGCATCTCGGTAAACGCGCTCTACTCGGCGCTGGCGGACCAACCGAGGATCAACATGATGGGTGAAATCGGGATTTACGCCAAGGGGCAGGGTTCAGATGCCTCTTGTGTGGAGTTTCGCATTAGACACAGTGGTTGCTCGGGCTCTGTCAACGGCGAGACTATCACCTCGCTCTACCAACAGGACAGCGTCAGTATTAGGCCCTATCCCAAGCGCTGGCGAGTGTCTCTCCCAAACTGCGGCTCATCGCAAGTCGTGATATGGATCTTCTGCGAGGACCCTCCCGAAATGCTCCGATTGCACATTGCAAGAGGAAACAACTTGTCCCCCACCTCCCATGGACTACTTGGTGGGTATATACATTCAATCATAATGGTTCTATAGGCCTCAAGTATGGTATTAAGGTTCGATGAACGTGTAAATTTGTGTTTCCTCCTCAGCTCAATTCTGGAACATTCCAATCGAAGTTGTTGACCAAGGTGGGGATCGAGCATATCTAGAGCTCTTTGACCCAATTCAAGTTGAAAAGTACCGTCGGATCGATGCGGTGGTTTCTCCACGTACCTGGAACATGAAGAACGGTCCTTGTTACTACGTGGGAAACTCCCAGGGTGGACCGTCGCAGTCAAACGACCAAACTGAATCAGTTATTGAGGGAAAAGTGGGACAGTACGAGACGGACACACTTTTCTCGACATCGTTTGTCTACTCTCAGTTCGATGAGTCCATATGTACATAGACACTGTAACTAACAGACATCTCTAGTAGTGGACTTCTTCATTAGAGCACATTAGAGCACATATACTTATGAAAAATGGTTTTAGCTTTGTAGTTGTCAGAATTCCTTTGAATAGCATTATTTTTGTCCGGAACAGTTGGTGCACAAAACTGCTACAGTACTACTCAGAGTAATGGGAAATTCAGCAGAACAATGGCCAGGTGTGTATGTGTGTGTGTGTGTGTGTGTGGGAGGAGGTATGGAATATCTCCAGGAACAATGAAGAGTCTAGCCTCACAACTCACACTCTCTGGACACATCTGCTTGAAAGGTGGAACTGTCCAAATATGCTCTTACTACACAGTCCATACCAACTCCCTTGACAGTTGCATAGAGGAGTATAGCTACATTAGCCACACAAACACACACACCATGCTTACCAACCTGCAGATAAATGTCGAATTTGTTTGATTTGGAGTATTTTTGCTGGAAAATGCAATCAGAATGTATGGGCATGATGCATCACAGGTTAGCACAAAAAAGAGGGATTTTGCAATTTTCTGGTGGGATAGGCAGTATTTTTACTTGATTATCAAGCAAAAAGCTGGATGGTTGGTAGGACACACACACACAGGCTGCAAAAACCAAGCAACCTCTTTCATGTCATGTAAGGTAAATGGGGGTAACTCCGGACACTCCGGACACTTTCATGTCATATTATTGTACATAGAAAACTACAGTTCACTCCTGGGAACACGTATGTTGTTCATAGTGAGCGGACTTTCATCATAGATACTTTCATGCATGCAGCTTTATGTAGTTCTCATGTGTTGAAAGGTACTGCACCTTGGCCAGATGTGAACAGACAGGGCAGAGGGACACAGGAAGTGTAGAATAGTGCCAGCTATAGTGCATACCACACACGCACGCACTACTCCGTCCCGTTGTGTACTGAAAAACTTACAGATGGCGAAAAGCGGGTGGATATTAGTGTTATCATTCCTCGGCTCCATATCAGGCCGGTGCCGCATTGTGTGCATCCACACGTGACGCGGACGAGTGCGCATGCGCAACCGCAGGTTATAAACCAGCGCTGATCAGAAGCAGCTTTACCGGTGCACTGCAGAAGAAAGTCAAGATGCCTTTTCGGCTGGGTCACGTTCTTATTGTGCTACTTGCTGCAGTACTCGCAGCAGACGCTCAGGCAGTGAAAACGCACCCCGGCACTATGCAGTTAGCAGATGCGCCTTGCAGTTTTCTCTGCAGATATCGTAGTCGGCTTGATGCGGGATAATCGTACAAGTGTCTCGGAGGAGGTTCATGACCATATGCGTTGAAGTATCAGTCCCGATGATATCGGAGGAGCCCAACTCTACCTTGAAGTGGAGGCAATTGAGAACACTGGCCAAGCCAGTAAGTCTCATTCTACATCTATAAACATTCGTAGTGTAATAAAATGGTTATAGCTGACATAGTTATGACACACAGTTTGTCCAGGAATTGTGTGTTGTCCAAAATTACATGTGACCCATGCAGTAAAAATTAAGATGCCTCCAAATTATTCCTACTGAGTTTTACGCATTATATGGTGTGAGATGTTTAGGTGTACATAATTTATTAAACACTCTGTGATTTCCTTTTCAGCACCAGATGAAACTGATCCCATATTTGGATCCTATTTGATGAATCCTGGTGCTGACTACCCACCACCATTCAGAGGAACAGGTGGGACACATGTCATAGATTGTGCAAATCAATGCAATATGCATTCAGTGAAAGTGCCTGCTGTATATAAGTTTTCGATAATGAACCTATGAACCCCAAAGAACCCTGCATGAGTTACAGCTAGAACTACTATATATAATCAGCTTGCCTATTCTAAGGGCATTTCTTAACTTTAGTGCACAACACTATAGACCGTAAACTAAAGAAGATTTCGGCACTATATCCCTAATAGGTATTGTATAATTTATAGACTTGTTTGAAATTCGTGTGACCATGTCCAACCTCCTCCAAAAGGCCAAATCAGGAACATGCCTCTCACCCAGTCTCGGAGATCTGTTTGTTATGAGCAAGAGACCTACCAAGACGAGGAAGAGGAACCTGATGAGACTTTCAGCCTTCGAGTTGTTGTTGACGACACCGTTGACCCATCTTTGATGGTGTCTAACCTAGTTGTAGATGCAAGTCGTGGAACTACTCAAGTCAGAATCTTAGGGGATATAGGTGAGTTAATTATATACATGGCAATAAACAGCATAAAGTGTTAGTTTGTACTACACACAACACTGCTGCTCTAACAGCCAATTCTATAGTGACACTTACAGTAGATAGTGGACTTGCATTGTGTAGTATGTGTAACACTACAGTAGCTACCTTAGAGTATGTATTAAGGAATTCACAGTGTTGCCAGGTGCCCATGCAGTTGTGTGCTATCCTCTGAGACACTGAAAACTAATGGCCAACATTAACTGACATCTTCATATTGAGATTAACATAACTGTTACACAATATTGCTAGGAATTGCCCAATTCCAGAGATACAGTACAACTCCCTTAATTTCTTGTCCCTTTATGATCCAGCTATATACACAACCTCCAGGGAGTGGTACTGATGTAACATGTCCTCTCACTAAAGACTCACTAAACTACACTTGGCTTATTTCAATACAGTTGGGGTGGTTGAGTGTCCCACTCTCAATGATCCTGATAATGGCAATCTCAACCTCAGTGGAAACTCTCTTGGAGATACAGCAGAGTACACATGTAACACTGGCTACAATCTGATGGGAGAGTCAATATCAACATGTGGTGCCGACAGCCAGTGGAGTGGGAACCCTCCTGTATGCGAGCGTAAGTATCTGAAAGTAATTTATATATCACAGGCTCACTGACTACACCTGACTTATTTGAACACAGTTGTCCAGTGTCCTGATCTCAGTAGTCCCATGAGTGGCTCA